GGGCATGTAGGTGCGCTTCACTTTTTATGAATTACTGTGATGAATATTCGTTTAATTTTGCAGCCCTACTCCTGCATTAGCCGTTACATTTGATTGAATTGCATTTTTCTGTCCTGCCTGCACCTGCACTCTGATCATCAGGTGTGTCTGAGTCAGAACCATCTCAGCCTCCTCTTTCCGCATTTTATTTTTGAAATGAGCAGCTATGCACCACTTTATGGGGTTCAGTGCTCCCAGCTCTTGATTAAATATAAAAAAGTCCCTGCTGCTGCTGCTGCTTCTTCCGTCAAAGGTTTGGCCCGTCACGGTGAAGCCCAGAGGTCTGGCCAGTTCCAAGTCGCTCACAGGGGAGAGCCGGCTCTGCCTCACAGCAGCTTCTCTCATCCTGGTGAGAGTAAGTTCAGGCAGTAGTTTGCCATCGGTCACGATACCTTTGTTGAGCGTTCGCCGCTTTGGCCACTTGGATGGATTGTTCTTCTTGGAGCTCGGCAGGTCGGCTCCGAACGGTCCAGGAGAGATCTGGATGGAAGCAAGAGACCAAGGTAATCAAGAATGAAAATGGGTTTACTGTCACCGAGTATTACCGAGACACAGGATCGTGACTTGTGTCTTGATGTGATGCGTTTGGTCTGCACAGGAGAGCCAGCTCTGGCCCAGCACATTCACGAGGCGGTTCGGGAGGCAGTACGGAGGCTACGAGCGCTTCCAGACTTCAGCAGGTCACCGACCTCCAGTCACAATCAGCCTCAAGCCCTTCTGGCCTCAAAACGCTGCAGACCCAAATACAGAGACGTGCCACTGAATGTGAGACCTCCCGGCCCCCTGGCACTGCTCCCCAGAAACCCTGACATCCAGACTAGTCCCACACAGTCTTACCCGAAGCCCTGCAACCCGGACAAAACAAAGCCTGAATCCTACCTGAGCTTCGTCTCTCGTCTCAGCCCATTCAGAGCCCAGCAGAGCGACAAGACTGAAACCGGTAGCTACATGGAAATGAGGACGAACGAGCACAGTTTTGCAGCTTGTGGGATGCAGCACTGGGAGCCAGTAAAGGAGGAGGACGGGCCGGGGTACATGATCATGTCCCCTCAGATCAGCCACATTTCGTCTTTGTTACCCAAGAACGACTACGTGACCATGGGGAGTCTACACAAGCGTGACCAGCCAGCTTATGACGACTCCTCTTCCCTTCAGACATCGTTCAACAAGTAAGTTCTTCATTTAGCTGTTGGAAACTGGACCCTTAGAACATCAGGTGAAAGTAGGCCTTCACGACATGGGAGAAAAATGGCACTATGATATTAAAATGACTTAGATAACGATAATGATTCTGGAATCATTTATTTGACATGAAAATTCTCAAAATGCAGCCAAACTGTTTCCTAGATCTTCCCGTATGTCAAGCGAGTAAACTGAACAACTGAGATGTTCACGCTTGTATTATTGTCTGAGGAATAGTGCGGTGGACGGTCGGCCTTGCGCTCGTCATACAGAGATTCGTGGTGATGATTTAAATGGACAAACACAGTAGTTGTGTTGCCTCCTGTTGTAGAACCTGCTTTAGATCAATGTGATCCTCCTGATAGAGAGATCTTTTTTTTTTGCTGTGCACATGTGGAGCCTGCATGTCAACAATCTAAATAAAAAATTTAAATATAGTTAAAAAAAACTGTCTCCTAGAACCCTAAAATTGTAGTAAATTGTGTTCTGTCAGACAGACGATGAGAACGTTGAGTTTATTTGGTATCGAGCTGGAAAAGCAGCTGCAGCTTGACGTGTTCACTTTGCACTTTCTGCTGTGTGATTATTGTGCACTAAAAGATATAATGAGCAGCCAGTCCTGAAAGTCACTTGGCAGGACACATGACAAATGAAAACTTCAAGGTTCACCGTAACTTTTGTAGTTCTTGGACTAAAACCTGTGA